AAACTGCGCCCTGCGTTCCTCCTTCCTCCTCCCCATCTCTCCCACTCCCTCCCTCCGCCCATCATCGTGATCATCATCATCATCATCATCATCATCATCATCATCATCATCATCATCATCATCATCCTCATCATCCTCATCATCCTCATCATAATCATCATCATCATCATCATCATCAACATAATCATCATCATCATCATCATCATCATCATCATCATCATCATCATCATCATCATCATCATCATCATCATCATCATCATCATCATCATCTATATCATCTTCATCAGCATCAGCATCAGTATCAGCATCAGCAGCAGTATCAGCACCAGCATCATCATCATCACCACCACCACCATCATCATCATCAGCAGCAGCATCATCAACATCATCATCACCATCACCATCACCACCACCATCACCACCACCACCACCATCGTCATCATCATCATCACCTTCGCGGCTCCATGGGAAAATCCACCGGAAACCGCGGTGGCACAGTCCGCATGGTGTACCGGCACCCGACTCGACACACCTCTCACACGCTTCGTGGCCCAAGCGCTCCGCTGAAAGACCCAATGGCACAGTCCGCAATGCGCACAAGCGCCTGATTCGGCACACCCCTCACACGCTTCGCGGCCCATAGGGAGCTCCAGGCCCCATCGGCACAGTCCGCATGGCGTACCCGCGCCCGATTCGGCACACACACATACACACCTCACACTCTTCGCGGCTCCATCGGGAGATCCACCGAAGGCCCCGGTGGCAAAGTCCGCATGTCGTACCCACGCCCGACTCGGCGCATCCCTCGCACGCTTCGTGGCTCAATGGGGAGCTCCGACGCAGGCCAAAGTGGCACAGTCCGCATAGCGTACCCGCGCCCGATTTGGCACACCCCTCAGACGCTTCGAGGAAACATAGGGAGCTCCATCGAAGGGCCCGGCGGCACCGTCCGCATGGCGTACCCGAGCGCGAGGCAGCACACCCCAGAGGGAGCTCCGATGCAGGCCCAGGCGTACCCGCACCCGATTCGGTAGAACCTCAAACGTTGCATGGCCCCGCGTGGAGCTCCGCCGAAGGACCTGGCGGCACCGCGCACGATTCTGCGCCCCCCTCACACGTTTCATGGCCCCACAGAAGCTCCACCGAAGGCCCCAGCGGCACAGTCCGCATGGCGTACCCGCACCTGATCGGGCACACCCGTCACAAGTTTCGGGGCTCCAGGGGGCTCCGACGCAGGCCAAAGTGGCACAGTCCTTATTGCGCACCCGCGCCCGATTCGGCACACCCCTCACACGTTTCGTGGAACCATCAGGAATTCCACCGAAACCCTCGGTGGCACAGTCCACATGGCGTACCCGCCCCATTTCGGCATACCCCTCACACGTTTTGTGGCCCCATGATGGGGCTCAACCTCAGGCCCCAACGGCATCGCCCGCATGGCGGCCCCGCCCCATGCCGGCACACCCTGTAAACGTTTTGTGGCCCCATGAGGAGATCCACCGAAGACGACGCCCACAACGACGGTACTCACAAGTGCAAATGCTCTGGTCCTTCGCCAACGTAATGTATGCCATTGCTTGCCACCGGCATTTTTTCCACGCTTTTTCCTTGTAGGATCCATTGGTAGGGCGGGGCCTGGAACGAGAAAATGACGCGCTGACACAGGTTTGACACTAGTGCGAAACAGGCCTGGAAACCCACAGCCCGTCCGCGGCGGGCTGTGACGAAGGAAATCCTACGATATGTTCAAACACGCACACATACATGCACATGTATATATATATATATATATATATATATATATATAGTTGCATATGTATACATACATATATCTACACACAGAAATGTACATATGTGGATATATAGATATATGTATATATATGTGTGTATGTGTAACGCCAGGGAAAGAAGCGCGCGATGTCATCCTTCGACTCACGCAACTCCGCCGATTTAAACCATGGGGCCACAATAGTTTTCACGTGTATACATGCGTACACGCATATATAATATATATATATATATATATATATATATATGTATACTCATGTATATATGTATATAGAGTTGTACATGTAGTTGCCTGTATTATTCTTATGTTTCTTCTTCTCATCTTCTTCGAGCACAGACACGGTAGATACGAACGCTGTGCTCGGGGCCTCGTGCTCCTTGGGGACGGCGCGGCACTGCGATCTCGGCGCCCACACTACTGGAGCAGCAGGAGGTCGCTCAGCACCACTCCTCTGAGGTCTGACCTGCGGGCCACCGGCGCCCACTGGGAAGCCCTCGACGAGTGAGACAAAGCAACGTCGAGCCACGCGCAGCGGCGTTGGAACGCATGCTGGGCCATGCCCACAGATGCCCACGCGGGGCTTGCCAGACGGGCTTCCACCTCCAAACACATGGGGACGGACTCTGTCCAAGACTGATCCAGCACAGCGCTGAAGCCAAAGGCGGCCCCACAACGTGCCACCGACCAAGCAACGTCCATCATGCAGGCCTGGAACTGGCAGCGCACCCTATGATGACTCTACAGCGCAATGAACTGGCCCTCGAAGAATTACCGGACCTCAAAGAAGTACAACACCAGCGCTCAACGAAGTCGACCGCCGACTATCCAACCGATCGAAGGATGAACTGTCTTCCAGGCATCAACGCTGCCCCCCTCAGTCAAGATCTTTGTCGAGGGCACTATACAGGTCCAGCTCTCGTTCGCATGTGACTTCTTTTTGGCGCCCATCTTCGAAACGAAGCCCACGCGCGGGGCGTCGCCGGCTTGAACGTGAACCCCATCGCCCGCAGGATGGGACGCAACGCGGCGAGGACTTCCATCTGTTAGGCCCCGCCGCCGTACTCCTAGCACCCCAAGGGCGTCCCCTGAATTCTCGCGAGAACTTCTGCCACCTTTTCCTTCCGTTCCTTTTTTGGGGCGACCTCTTTCCACATATCATGCTAGTGCGGCAGCATCGCCCATGTCTGCTCTGGACCCCTGGGAACCAGCGCCACGCCTTCCCCGTTGAGTGTCACGCGGCACACCTCGCTGTTATGAGTCGGGCTGGTCGTGCAATCTTTGGCCCGCTGACTCCAAGCTGTGCCAGTTCCCTAAAAACGCTCAGGACCCCTCCAGCACGGTGCTGCTCTGCGGCGGGCCCCGCTGGCACGCGCGTGGCGCCCCCCCCGTCGGCCGTTTCCACGTGCGCGTTGCGCGCGCTGGTGCCCGCCTGGACCACCCCCTCGAACTTGTCGCCGAATGCTACTAACTGGGGCGTGCGCCCGAGCGCCCGCGCTCGAGCTTCGAGTTGTTCGAACAACTATGCGTCTGTACGGGGCCTCGGCCACTCTGCTCTTTACCTCGCGAGCTTGCCTGATTGCCACGCCTGCCCCGTCCTGCGCGCGCTTTCTGACTTGGCGGCGCAAGCCGACATTGGGCGGTGGGTGGATGCCTCGATGTTGTTAAAACTCGGCGTAGATGTGCGCGTTTGAGCACATGGCTGCGGAGGGTCTCGGCGCCATCTGCTTCGAATAGACACGTCGGACAATCTCGCGTGCACGTGGCAATCGCCCCGGCGTTTTGGCCTCGCCCTGCGCGACGCTTCCTGCCATCGAGACCCTTGGTCACGCGGCGCGCGGCGCTGCGCTATGTCGCGAGCGCCGCTTTGCACGTCAAAAACTGGACAGCGATGCGTTGGATAGGCTGAAATAGTACATCGTCAAGAGCGTTTGGCGGCAATGAAAACCTAGGCGTGAAATGGATTCGGGGAGTGTGTGAAATGAATTGTGAAATGGGTTCGGGCGTGTGTGAAATGATTTGTGAAATGGTTTCGGGCATGTGTGAAATGATTTGTGAAATGATTTCGGGCCTGTGTGAAATTATTTGTGAAATGGTTTCGGACGCGTGTGAAATGATTTGTGAAGTGGTTTCGGGCGTGTGTGAAATGATGCGTGGAATGTATTCGGGCCTGTGTGAAATGTTTTGCGAAATGGATTCTGGCGTGTGTGAAATGAATTGTGACATGAGTTCGGGGGCGGCTTGCACTGAGTTCGGGCGCGTGAGAAGTGAGTTCGGGGTAGCTGCGAAATGAGTTGAGCAGCAATATCGGGGGGCATGGAGGATGCGGGGGGCTTGACATGATGTGGTGGTAGTGACAAGATTCATGGAGGCCTGGTTTCGCACGGCTGCGTTGAGCCGGAGAATGTTACATCGATATTTAGGCCCCCCAACCCCTCATTCAATCATTGGCGTCGGCTGTTTAGACGCAAGGGCAGCGGCCGCCAACAGACATGTCGAGCGCCGCCTAGGCAACCGCACATCATCAGCCACTGCATCATAAATGCCTCCCCTTTCCGCCAGCTCCTCTGCTCCTCACCACCGCCCTTTGCGCATCTCATCCTTATCACGCCGCCGTGCCCTCGCCCTCCTGCCGTCGGGGCTGCTCGACGCGCTAACGCGCTGGCCCGGGCCCGTCTGCCCTGCAGGACCGCGCTAGCTTCCACTGACAAGGAGAGGGGAGGAGGAGGAGGAGGAGGAGGAGGAGGAGGAGGGGGAGGAGGAGGAGGGCCCAACAGAAGCTAGCACCAGCTGATAAAACCAATCGTTTTCTGCTTGGCAGCTCTCGGATGGGTTGGAGGGCACTCGAAAGCGCATGGGCCCGAAGACATGCAACTGGCCCGCCGGAGGAGGAGGAGGAGGGAGGAGGAGGGGGAGGAGGGAGGAGGGGCAGGAAAGGGAGGCGGAGGAGCAGGATGATGGGCATGATGTTTGCTGACGCGCAATGCCAACTGAACCGTTGTAAAAACGGTGGCGGTTCCAGCGCACGTTACACGAAAACCCACAGTGCAGTCGCGTGCTCTTGCATTGAATTCGACCCCAGCGGTGTGAGCTGTATAGTTGGCACCCCGTATCCTGGTATCCTGGATCCTGTCTACGGTCTACCCATCCAACCCAGTCCCAGTGCACACCTATCACAAAGCAGACACTGCATATGCTGCATATGCAGAAGAACCTACGACTTGCACAGCCATACATCGAGACTCGAACCCGCAGTCTTGGCGGCTTTGCGTTTGCCGTTGCCTGCTGCTTTCTTGCCAGATGCTTTAGGCTTAGCCTTCGGCTTTGGCGTCGCAGCGGCATCATCATCAAACTCCTGGCCAAGGCGAGAACGCAACTCGGCCGTGGCGGCCTCGATCCTGGGCCTGGCGACCTTTGTCGCTCCAGACTTGGACGCGGCCCTCTTCAGGTTAGCAGGGCCGCCCACCTGAGCATCTAACTCTTTAGCAATGTCAGATAATTTCGGCGGAGGCTCAGCAGCTTTCGTAGAAGAGGCCGCGCTCTCGGCCTCACGAACAGCTGCAGCAGTGGGGCAATCACCCGCGGCCTTAAGTAGCAACGATCTGATGACGGGTGGCAGCGAGTCGCTGACTTTCAGCACGCGCTCTGCCAGCGCTTGCCTCGTCTCACCGACTTTCAGAGGGCGGAAGAGAGCCAATACTGCAGTCAGCTGATTGGCGGCTGCCTTGGCCGCCTCGAGGGTAGCTGTCCAGCGGGCGCGGTCATCTTTGAAGGCGGCCATGCTATCGGGCGGCAGCTGATCGAGCACCGGCGGGAAAAATTCCGCATCCAAGGTGTCCAGCGCCGAGCGGAGTGCCTTGGACCCAACAATCACAGGGGTGATTGTCGCTGCGGTGACCCTCTCAAGGAGTGCATCACGGTTGGACGCGGGATCTTCAAGTAGCTGCTGCAGCTCGGATGTCCATTTGATGGCGTCCAGCCTCTCGGACATAGCAGCTGCCGTTGCGCCCACCTCGTGCTTGATTGCATTCTCGGATGATTGAGCTTTCTTGTGAGTCTGGGAGCGAATCATAGTCACAAGCCCGCGCGCCCTCTCAATCACCTGGGCGACCTGCGCCCCCCCCAGCTGGGCGATGGCGTCAATGAGCTGCGTCAGGCCAACCCGCATAGCACACATGTCGGGGATATGCTCCGACATGACAACAGTCCGATCAGCAGACGAGGATGCTATCCTGAGGCGCATCACCACGGCTCCAGCGCACGTCGGCGCAATGCACAGCTGCGCAAATGGACGCACGGACGCAGTGCCCGCAGGCATCTGTTTCGCCATGTCGAACAGACGGTGGACCTGGTTGATAAAGGCTTGGCCCAGATGACTGGCAGCAGCAAGAGCAGTGTCAAATGCCTCTGTCGACTCATCAAACGCGAGCACGGTTTCGAAGCCCCACTGCGCTGCATCATCGAATGCCTCGCGAGCCTTGAACCATTCTGAATCAGACGACGGATTCATGTCTGCGAATGCGGCGATGAATTTCGCCAGGGGCTCCCCCGCCGCCGCGATCTTCTCCTGCAGGATCGCCTCGCCCGTCTGCCGGGGCTTCGCGCGCCAAGCCTGGGGAGGAGGGGCGGGCGCAAGAGCGAGGTGAGTTCGCGGGGGGCAGGGGCGAGCGCCCTGACAAACACAACCACATGTGCCTCACGAGCTCAATACCATCCAACAGACCCCCGCCCAGTGAGTGGCGGGAAGGGGCTGGGGGGCGGGAGCCCCGATAAACGAGTTGAGGAGGAGGGAGAGGAGGGGGGGGGGAGGGGGAGGAGGGGGGGGGGGAGGAGGAGGCGGAGGCGGAAGCAGAGGAGGAAAAGGATGCGGAGGCGGAAGAGGAGGAGGAAGTGGCGGAGGAGCGGTTGGCTGTCGGAGGGGGAGAAGCAGGAGCAGGAGCAGCAGGAGCAAAGGCAGCACAGGCAGGCCCTGCCTTCTTGAAGTCTGCGAGGGCAGTAGCGTCGCCGTCGACGACGGCGATGTAGTCCGCTGCGGCGTGCGAGATATCGCTCATCCACGGCCGCGACTTGAGGTCGGACAGATACGGGAGAGCCGACTTGAGCGTGGCCATGCTTGACCGGCGCTGTTCGGCGCCCGCCTCGAAGGCCGCGACAAATTCTCCGCCCTCAACGTCGACGTGGTGCAAGCTGATGTCGCTAGCCTTGTAGATCGGCAGGGCAAGCAGCGCGTCGATCTTCGTGACCACGTCCTCCAGAGCGGCGGTGTCAGGCTCCCCGCTAGAGGGCAGGAACTTCGCGTGGCAGATGGCAGCGAGCTCGCTGGCGCCATCGTCGAAGATCCGCTTGGCTGTGGACGACAGCAGCTCCCTCGTGGAATTCAGCATCAACAATGTCTCGTTGAACGCGTTGTTGTTCCGCGTCGTGAAGACCACCGACGCCAGGTCCTTGACTTTGCAGTACTGCTTGTGGAGCACCTGCCAAAACTGCGCATCGGGTAGCCTGACACCTTTGCCATCGCCTGTGAATACAGTGTAGGTAGCTGACGAGGTGTTCGTCTTCTGCTTGACTGCCTCCGCGTTCGACAGCATGTCGCGGAACTCGGCAGAGATGGTATGGTCGATGGCCCGCTGCTCAATCCAGCGAGCGCCTGAAGCAATGACTTCGATGCCAGATGGTAGGAGCGTCATTGGTTTGCATGTCCTGCGGTCTGTCGTGTCCTTGATCCGGGCGCATACCGCCGTCATCTCATCGACCTCCATCTCCATCGGGGGGCACGCGATCTTCACCAAGTCGGAGAACTCGGCCCTCATCTCGGCCGACAACGCCCTCCCCACCTGCAGGCTGGTCATGAACTTGACAAAGGCATCAGTGTTGTTCTCCACCCGCAAGATGCTCACCAAATATTTCAAAAGCTTCTCGGTCTGAACATCTGCCCTGACATTTGCGCCAACAGAGTTAAGACACAATCCAGTGCGCTGTGAAACGGGGTCCTCGGATCCGTCGGTTGGTGGAGCTGGCTGACGGGCAGAGCAGTTCAGCACCGACATGAACTCATCATAACGGCCGTCAGAGGCAAACATCGCGAGCTCCCGATCTATACTCTCCTCGATCAGCGCGCTGGGCAACTTGAGGGTCAATTTGCCAGCCACGGAGTCATCTGACAGGTTGCGGATCAGGTCGTACAGTTTCTTGCCGCCGTCTGCATGCTTGGTAGGTGAGTGGAGCTCCACCACGAGGGGCTTCACTGCGGCGATCTCTTCTGTCGCGGACCGCAGCTTACCCAACGCATCAATGCCTGTCGGTACAGCGGCTGCAGTCCCGCCCTCGGGCACGTAGCTCTCAGTGTAGATTTGGATCAGGGCCGGGCTGAGTCGGGAAGATAGTTTGTTCTCGAGTGCAACGATCGTCTTCACCGTGACCGTCTCGAAGCTGTCAGAGCTGGCCAAAGACCTCAGCATCTGCTGCACGTTCAAGAGCGCCACCTCGCTGGTTGACACCTCCTTGGTCAGGCGGGCCATGGCGAGGGAGCCCTTATGCTGGCGATTCTTTCCTGCCTGCGGTCTGGCGGTGCCGCCGCCGCCGCCGCCAGAACTGACTTTCCCAGATCCAGGTCCGATGGATAGTTCCAGCATCTCCTGGAAGACGTCGTCGACGTCGTCGTCATCAGATTTCTTCTTCTGGGTGCCGCCAAAGGAGACGGAGTGCACGGTGTACGGAGCCTGGCCTTCCTCGTGCACGGTAGCACTCGAGGAGCTGATGTTGGCGCGTTTCTGCGCGATGGCCCAATAACGTCGAGATTCTTCGGTATCATGTCCATCATACACGGTAGACGTGTGTTCGGGGCCTGCGAGTCGGACTTTTGCCACGTCTGTGGTGCCGATGGGTCTGCCAAATTCCTCATCTCTGATGACGCCCCTCCCAAGAGTCGGGATAGTTTTAAGCTCCTTTTTCAGCACAGGCTTGTCGGGGCGGTGCTTCGCCCACAAGTCCTCTGGCCAGAAGATGCCCAAGTTCGACTTGAGCTCCAGCATGCAGCTCTCTTTACCCGTGATCGTCTTTCTCGCTCCCCTCGTGTACGTGCGAGGGACAAGTCCATTGGCCAAGTCTTCTTTGGTCTTCACCTTGGCGATCCAGACGGTCTGATTCTCAGGGCTCTCTGAGATTTCCTGTCGCAAGCTCTCCTTGTCCTCGCCGGAGTGGTGCGAGCGGAGGCAGGTGTTGCAGTGAGTGCACGCTAACGATCGAGGTTTGCATCTCACCAGCGTCGGCTTGTGGCCCCGGTCTTTCACTGCAGGGTTAGGGGTCGACCACGGGCGCTTGCTAAACTTGCATCCGTCGAACTGCTCGCCTGAGGCGATCACGCGCGCCCAAGCGGAGTGGAGCGCGTGGACGTCCAGGCGGAGCTTCTCGATGTCGGCTGGCGTAAGCTCGCAGCCCTGCGCGAGGCGCGGCGGGATCGACTGCGACATGCGTCGAAGCGACAATGTGGGGCGTCGACTCGCCAAGTAGAACTGGAGCAGCGAGGAGCCAAAAGAAAAGCTCTCAGCCAAAACCGGCTATGGCACGGAGGAGGATGCGGAGGGGGAGGAGGACATCCGTTACAAGCTTTTCACATCACCATCCTTGCTTGGAGATCTAGGGCCTTACTCCCGGACGCGGTGTTGGATTTAGATCTTAGTGGCAGCTCGAGAGATTCAGGGATGGGGATGGTCTTGGGCGGTCTTGGCGCATTAGGGATTAGGGGGCGGGCGGGGGTCCAGGGAGGGGGGGGTGATTGGTGGCTTTAAGAGCGCCCGGACTGGAGCCTTGAGAGGAGTGGGGAGGAGGGGTGGGCGGGGTAGGGCGCAAGTGGGGAGGCGGGGGAGGGGGGGAAGGAGGGGTGTGGTTTGCGCTGGAACCCTCTAGAGCCTCTAGTGGAGCGACAAAGGGATTATGTTTCCTGTATACCCGACAGTTTTGCGTCAGTTCATTCGAGCACGCTCGCAGAAGCGCCAGCAGTTCATCCTCGGGGTCGCGTGCCAGCTCACGCGTTGCAGACTCGAGCGAAGCTGAAACAGACGCCGCCTGGTGGGGCGACCTGGCCATGGCATGCGCAAGCACTGACATGGCGCTCAGGAATATCGTCGCACACGTCCGAGCCTCTGGGAGGAAGTCAACGCGCTGCGTTCAAACAGTTATGATTCCGAGCCGAGTCCAGAGCCGCAGCGACGAGGGCAGGTTAAGTCCCCGATCACCTCGAAGGCGTTGCCGCCAAGATCCTGGAGCAACGAGCCCTTGAAGGTCCGCAGCTTATCGTGCAAGTTACCATAATGTACATTTTGCAAGTGAATAGCTTCCATTCCAAGGGTTGTCCTGCATCGATGAGTTAAGTGCATGCGCATGCGGGGGAGAACGCAACTCATTGACCCCACCTCGCTGGTGGATGACCACTGTAACTGCTGGCTGACGTCTACAACTCGAGGCTGCCGCTCTGGAAAAGCAACGCCCCTCGAAACCAGCAAGTCCAATTCACGACGAGCAAGATCTTTCAAACCAGGATACAACTCCTTCATTTCAGAACTAGGCCCTGACAGAAGTGTCCAGTCCAAACCACGACGGGCACACCAGTCGCTGTGTTTTTCGGCCCAGCCCTTGCCATCCTTACCAGTGATTTTGGGCTTCTTCAATTGAGGTGGGGTGACTGGCTTGCGAGACTGCGCTGAGTAATGCGATGCAACGAGATCATCATTTTCGGGCAGCAAATACGTATCCAACGGAATTGGTTGAGACGATCCTGCTATTATCTCAAATGTTTCCAAAAATTTGGCAACGAGTTCGTCTTCGTGCACATGCTCCACATAAATACGCGGGATGTGAGGCAACCAGAAGCGCCCCCTGGAAACAGCAGACAAGTTGCACCGGTGAGGATACACAAGAATAGGCAGCACGAACATACCAGCCTCGCGCTGCAGTCTGTGAACCACGACGTCCAAATTCGTTGGCACACGTCCTGTGAATCCTAGTGGTACAGCCGAGTCGGGGACTGGATCCTGTATGCTCACGACATTTTCTGCGAGCCCTATGTGCGTGCCATCGGGGTGCGAGGTGTAATGACGAATAAGACCGTCGAAGACTGAACCTGTCCGGAGTGTACCTGACGCGACCGACGTCCTGTTTGCGGATGACGACGCCTTCGGGTTCATTCTGCTTGCGTCTTGACATGGAAAACCTGGAGATCAAAAAAATCAAACAGACAGCAGCAGCATCGGCAGAAGGAATTGGCCTAAACGGAAACATAATATACGCATCCCCCCCCCCGATGGCAGGGTGGTTTGCCCTGAACAACCTATGGTATTGAACGTGGCAGACCGCACTACGCAATCAGCACCAGTTCTATCGTCTCTTGAAACATCACGATGGAGCTTACAGACGTCAGTGAACATGGGCGCTGTACGGCCTGGAAACATATGATAGAGAAACCTGCGTTTCTCGGGGTCGCTCTCGCATTGAATACCAGTGACGGTGCGAATTTCACCCTTGCGACGCGCTCCAGAGCGGTGGCTAACGCTGTCATCGCCAGCAAGGGGGAGTCCGTCCCAGAACACATCGTTGATATAGATTTCTCCCCCACTGACGCATAGGAACACACCTCGGTTATCGTTGCCGACGGAAGGGACCTGAGGCCGCATTCGACGAAGTGCTCGAGAATGCGATCGCCTTGGGTCCGCGGAGGGAGGGAGGGGTGCCAACAATGATGGAACACATCCCCAGGTTGTCCAACCTCTCGAGCTGAGTCCGACCGTGACGACAAGCGGCGCGTGATAGGATAGAACGGACGGGCGACCGAGGGAGGGGGGCAATTGTACCTGACGGTCGCCCACTTGAGCGAACAGACCGACTGGATGCACCGGAATACCGCCCAAGGCGTCCACCGCAGAAGGCCTCGTTGACGGGCATGCCACATTGGCTGGACGAATGTGCGCCAGAGACGCGAAATCCATCTCTGCACAGAAACCTGGGCCGATATATGTCACGCGCATGCTGCTGACTGCTACACAACGGCGCGTGACAAGCGAGAGCGCAACAACGACTCTGGGTCAAAGCTTGCTATGCGAAACGAACTTGTTCGGAATCTGCAAACAAAGGGGACAGGGAAAAGGAGGAGGAGGGGGAGGGACACCAGGACACGAGAGAATTCGTGGCACCCAAACAGTGGCACCTAAACAAGGCACAACAGTGGCACCCAAACAAGGCGGCCGGGTGCCACTGTTGCTCGCCCTCACGCTCGCCGTCCTGGCGGCCCGCCCGCCCTCTCGTCGCCTGCCCGTCCTCTCTGCGTCGCCGCTGCGGTGCTCGCGCCGCCGCTGCGATGGTTGGTGGTCTTCCTATCCTTCTCGTCATCCTCCTCCTCTCATCATGCTCATCCTTCTCCTCCTCCTCCTCCTCCTCCTCCTCCTCTCACCGCTTCATCCTCCTCCTATTCCTTCTCCTCATCCTGCTCGTCCTCCTCCTTCCTCCTCCTCACCCTCCTCCCCATCGTCCGTCTCCTCCTCCTCCTTCTTCTCCGCTTGCTCCACCTCCCGCCCGAAGGCGGCGAGGGAAAGGTGCAGTGAAATCGTTTCACTGATCCCTTGCCGTGACACGCGGCCGCTACGAGTTTGGGGACGTTAAAGTGGAGTGGGGTGTGAAATGATTTCACTCCTCCTCTGGGGGGCGGCTTCGGGCGAGGAGGAGCTCGGGCGCGGGCGGCAGGGGGGGTGCGAAATGATTTCACTCGTCCCCGCGGGGGGTGGCTGAGGGGGGGGGGGAGTCATTTCACTGTAAAAAATAATGAAATAATTCACCCCGCCGTCCTCGACCACCCCCCCAGAGGAGGCGTGAAATGATTTCACTCCCCCCGTCTCCCCCCCACACCGCGGCCACCGCAGCCGTCTGGCACAGCCCAGGGATGAGTGAAATCATTTCACTCCCCCCCCCCCGCCCCGCCCCGAGGCAACTGCAGCCGTCCGGCGCCGCATCGGGAGCTGTGAAATGGTTTCACTCGCATGCTGCCCCCTCGCTCCAGAGGGCGGGGGGAGGAGGAGGAGGAGGAGGAGGAGGAGGAGGAGGAGGGCGAGGAGCAGGAGGAGGAGGAGGAGGCAGGAGGAGGAGGAGGCAGGAGGAGGAGGGATGGCCCGGGAGGCAGCGAACGAAACACAGGATATCAGGACAGCGCGATAACGATCAAGATTCCGCGTCACGGCCTGCGTCCTGACTCTGACTGAGGGGGGCGAGAGAAGGATGGGGAGGTGGCGGAACCGGAACGCACCGAACCAATCCACCAATCCCGAATAAGGACCCGATGTTGGACACAGCGCGACCCCCATCCCGAGACGCGGGCCACATCGCCAGGCACGGTGGCGTCAAACAACGCCGCGGAGATCCAGCACTCAGGCCTACGTCCAGGAAGGGGAGGCGCAGCCTTCACGATCAAAGAAACTCGGCTGCACTGAGGAGAAGCACCCGACTCGAATCGTGCAAAGGAAAGGCACGACGCTCTCTGATAATCTGCACATCACTGGTTCGGACAAACATGAGCACATCGTAAGGGCGACTCTGCCCGAGAAAGAACACGGCACAACGCGTGGCCAGCCCTCGCAGAGGTCGCTGGTGGCGGGCGCGGGGTAGCGCAGGCACGGGGCTCCAGAGGAAGAGAGGGGGGCTCCAGAGGCCTCGAGAACCCAGGAGGAGGGGGCACCCCAGACATGCTCAGCCCAGAAAACACCAAAGAGGGCGCTGGCCCGACGCAAGGCGCTTGGCCATGACAGCCATAGGGCACATAGGGGGCGCTCCAAGATTCCCAGGCAGAGAGGCCCCAAGACGGTCGGCCGCAGGCGCCCGAGACGCACGCACTTCAGGTCCAAGGTGGCCGACGCACGGACGCGCCGAAGCAGCAAGGCACGAAGGCCTCGCGACAAAGGACCCACTGTCCCAGCACGAAGCGGACCTGGCTAGTTTGTTTTGTGTCGGTGCTACCTCCTGTAGAGGGGCTGATGCCGCCAGTGCCACGCTGGTCGTCGTCGTCGTCGAGTGCGAAGTCGTCGTCGTCGTCGCCGCCGCCGCCGCCGCCGGGGATCGGGGATCGAGGGCTTGGGAGGAAAACGCGTGATTACCATATAAGATGGTGCTGTGCGCGGTGGCCCATCATCCTCCAGATTGGTTGAGTTTTGGCCTGGGCGGTGAAAGTATGATGGAGCGTGGGTGTGCGTAGATACGGACGTTCTTATGCGGCTCGGTCCCCCTGCACCAGGACTCGATGAGCTCAGGAGGAGGAGAGAGGTGGAGGTGGAGGAGGAGGAGGAGGGGGAGGTGGAGGTGGAGGTGGAGGGGGAGGGGGAGGGCGATATCATCGACGATATCGAGGGGAGGGGGGGAAGGGGAAGGAGAAGGGGGAGGAGGGTGATATCGAGGAGAGGACGAGGTGGGCATTACCTGGACATTACCTGTTGTG